GTGTGTGTGTGTGTGTGTGTGTGTGTGTGTGTGTGTGTGTGTGTGTGTGTGTGTGTGTGTGTGTGTGTATTATCACAGCCATTCGTATTTTAATCTAGGAAAATAATAAAATAAAATAAAATAAAATAAAAATAGTCATTTTATTTGTTATTTTTTTATGTCAAAGTAATAAAATCGTGTTTTATTTTAAGACGTGTTTCACATCGAATTTTAAATCAAAATTTACAAACTACTAAAATAGAAAAATTTAAAATATACAGATATAGTTATAATTATATAAATAAATGTAATTATTTTGTTTTTAAATACAAGCGAAACAAAAATTGAATTTAGAAAAATATTTAATTGCTAATAAATGATATATTACAGAATAATCAAATTATATACTTACTGCTACCGAATTAATAATTGAAGGCAATATTTTTACTTCTTTCAGAACAATACGTATCTTAATGAATACTAAAACATATGAGAGCGAAAACATTGTAAAACGATAACATAACAGATAAAAGATATTGATACTCTTTTCTCTTGGTATAATATATGAAAAATGGGGAAATTGAAGAGAATACCGAAACCGTTTATAAAAATTAAACGTCTCTCGAGAAAAAGAAAAGTAATTCCATTGGATCAAGAAATTAAGAAACATGTACGCTGGAAAGGGAAACGAGAAATGCACGCTAAGTTGGAGGCTACAATAAACTTTGAGACTTTGAAAATTACAGCAGACCCACAAGTGGATGTAGATTACATAAAAAGCATGTCAATAATGTCAATTTATGATCGTAATTATAGAAGTCCCTTACAAGAAAACATTTTTGAAGATTCCATGTATATCAGATCCGATATGACGCATGAGTTAAACAATTTAAGTATCATCGATGAAAGTGAAGACGATTGTATTGTAAATGCGCCGCAGCGGAACATTGGATCTGATATTTTACAGAAAACTTCTTTCCTTTATATAAGCGACAATAGTGAGCCAAATATATACGATAGAATAAGAAATATTGTTATGTTGTAAAATGTGAAGTATTTTAAAGATTTGGAGATTAATTAAGCGTTACTTTATGCATTTAATATAAATAATTTATTTATTTATTTTACAAAATTAAATATATTTTTTATTTCTTTTACAAATTTCTTTTTTTAATATAAACAACAATAGCGAGCCAAATACAATACATATATGTATATGAATAAGAAATATTCTTATAGAATGTAAATGAAGTTAGCCTATTTTTAAAGATTTGGAGATTAAGCGTTACCTTACGCATTTAATATAA